TAAGAATACCCCACAAAAAGAAAAGAAGTTTTTGTTTGAGGTTTTCTTAAGGATGGCTTTGAGTTTAGTGTCACATGAGACTCCTCTGATTTCGCGTTCTCCTCCCACTTTTTTTTCACATCTTGTCTGTAGCCTTTTTTGGCTTCCATGCAATCCTCACCGGAGTCAATTCACAATTAGTCCAATCCATGCATCAGGTCTGGGCCCCTGCGTCGCCAATCTGATTCCCTTCCTGGTTGATGTTCATCACCGTAGTGTTCATGTTAAGCGCTTCTGCGAGTGCCTGGCCAGCACCAGGCCTCTTCGAGGGTCAAGAGCAGGACGGGGTTTTCTCTACAGCCAAACAGCCTGGAAACCGCAAACGCTTGGCATGTGTCCATTGCAGTGGCTCCCGCCAGGATGCTCTACCTTTGCCACTTAGGAGCTATTCGACTTCTTCAAGGCATTCTTCTCATTGATCTCATCCTCATCCTAATTGCATCTTAGTTTTGGCCCAGTTGGTAGTGGAGACGCTTTTCTCTAGCCGATGTGTGAATGCAAACGGGAGGTAGCGCTGGCCGTCTTCCTTTACTACAGCAGCAGCTACAGGTGGGGACTGACACCCGTTGGCCTCTTGTTCTGCCAGGCCAACTCCTGGCAGTTTAGCGGGTGGGCACATCCCCCTGTATCTTGAGTCAACCCCCTCGTACCTGAGGTTAAATCCCCCTTTAAGGGTTCCATGGTTGTTTCGGGGAGAGTCCTCTCCAAAAGTTTGACATAAGACCTGAAACTTGGCCATCTATGTAAGGATTCCTGGTCACAAGGGTCTATTCCCAGGTTCCATTCTTAAACTGACCTGGCGAAGGTGGACAAAGGATCGAGGCTTCCACGAATATCAAAATAAACAGCTTGCGATCTTTTTCGTAACTCTTCTATAATTGACTAAATAGCGGCGCTCTCCCTCTCTCTCTCTCTCTCTCCTGACGGTGTCCCCTTTCAGCAGAAGGTTCTCCAGCGAGATGTCATGATGACCTGCGCGAATCCTGACACTTACGCTGCCCCATTGCCGAACCGATTTTGCCTATGCAGTGAGCGTGCAGATATTTGACCTTCAAATTCTCAAACCATCAAGTGTGACATTCCGGTATTGAAAGTGTTTCTGGTATGCTCAAACAAGCTCAAAGACTACCGACATCAACGCGGTATTTGAAATTTGTGTGTCTTTGCTCGATCTACGACGAATGCTATTTCTAAGCAGCTTCCCATGCTGAATAACATGGAAAACCTTCAACTTTCCAAGAGCTCTGTCTATTCGAGTTGGGGTGCTGACTCATGGATACCAGCCTCATCTCGTACAGCCCAGTTCCCTTCATGACGCCTCGTGCCTGAAAGGAGGGGCTATCAGTGGTCTGCGCAAGCTGATGGCTAGTCGTGGTATACCCGGGTGGCTCCTGGACTCAAATCCCAAAGCGCTGACACAGAGCAGCAACCATCAAGAGCAATCATCGCATTGCAGCCTTCACTCCCCCTAAAATTAGATTAAATCAATCTTTAGGGACCCCCCTTCAGCAAGGGGGGGGGGGGCGTAGGTGGGGGAAGGCCGACGACCGCCCAAAGACCGACCAAACGGCACAACCGACACCAACCACCAACCGCATGCATCTCTTAATGATTTAGTTTTATATTAGATGTTGATTTTGATGAAATGAAACAAGAAATGTAGGACAACTTACCAGTAGACTAATGCAGCTTCATAGTGGATTCCCACTTTAAAGGCAAATAACATCAAACATGTGGCTCCACGTGCATTTAAAGGAAAGATGTTTAGGCTAAAATGTTTCACACCCTAATGGTTTATAATAATTTCCTCTGAATGAAACTTGTAACATCTAACTAGAAGTAGTTTCAAATGATTTCAAATGGTCATAGATATCTTGCTCCTATTCCCTGGAGTTGCCAGCAAGTAATTCAGGCTGTAAGTCAGGGTGAGAATTCCAAAGCAGTAAACTGGTTAAGTTCGCTGCTTTGGAATTGTAACGGTAAATGATTGAAGATGGCGCCGGGAAACTAGATAAATTTGTTTTACTCAATTTATTTAATGCAAAAAAAAATTATGTCACCATAATTTCAAGAGCTTTCAATAATATAAAGGCCCCTCTCCCCCCCCGGGAATGAGATTAACTCTGATATATTCTTATTAATTTTAATATAATATTGTAACACTTACTTTAAATATGGTAATTGGAATTGTACATAATTATTACAAATTAGTGAACACTGCAACAACATATAAGTTATAGTGTAAAATATACATCACTTGCATATTTTTGTCGATAAAGAGTACCACTATAATATCAAATAATGTTTTCCTTTTGTAACATACTATTGTAACATTTAAGTGAAGATAATGTTTAATAAAAATTACAAGTGATGTTGTTTATAATGTAATATGTATTTTATCTGTGAGACAATCTTATTATACCTTTTTATATTTTTTTATCACTGTGGTGAAACTGGGACTGTAAATAATAATGCAATAATTTTTATATTTAATTCCTTCACTATTTGACATGTGTATTTTCATGAAACAAAAGGTTAATGTACATCAAAACATTAAAGGAGATGGATAGAATTCATGTTGTTTAAACTACTTGTTTGACAATAATTTTCTAACCTCATGATGATAAAATAAAAAGGCAAAAGACACAATGTACCACCCAACCCCTCCCCCGACTCCCTAAACATACACACACGTTTGACATTTCTAAGGTTGCTGATTTCCAACTTAGTTTTGGAATCAAAGTCAACATTTCAATGGAGCCCTTTCCATCCATCCAGTCAGGTAAATGGGTGTTGCTTTAATTTGCTGCTATCAACCCTCAATTTATATGGGAAGGCTCTGCCCAAGGTCCAACCTCTTACCCTTTTGTATACATTCTTGGCAGGAAAGGTACATCTACGCCGTTCCGTTTGTTTGTCCTCCCTAGCGAAATCCCTACTCTTTCATATAACTGAAGCCTGAGAAAGGCACCCCTCCAAAGCCCGTCATAGGGAATATCCTCCCCATTGTTTCTACGCTTTTGTTTCCCCACTAAAATGCTCCACCTTAATGCTCCATTTTTTCCCACTCAAATGGTCAATCAGCCCCCAAAGAGTCACTAAAATGCTCTGATAATGCTGTTCATACAAAGGTTTTTTATTAATCGTGACGTTTTAAGACATTGCTATCCCTACTCAAATGGTACACATAGTATAACAACACGTTTATAACATTTTAAACGGCAAAAATTAACTTTTGCCCAGTCTTCGCACTTTGAATTTCAAGTTTTTCTACTTTGTTTGTATTTTTTTTTCTGAAAAAAATTTTTTTTCCGGGAACAATATTAACCCCTATTTTTATTTTCTCCGAAAAAATCCGGGAAAAGTGTCACTAAAATGCTCGAATAATGCTTAATGCTTTTGCTTCACTAAAATGCTCAAAAAAATGCAAGCATAATGTACAAATGCCTAACTGTTTCAGCCTTTGCAAGTCCTACCCTGTGCCTGGCTCTCACATCAGATGGCTGCGACGTCACAAAAACAAGCCCAAATAGGTGCAATAAAGGACCCTTCTACCTCAATGTCATATTTTTTTAGTCAACCTTTATTTTTGCAAAACCCTGAAATATGTCTGTGTAATCCAACACAGCTTTATCTGCAAGAGGAAAAACAAAACATTTTTATCAGTGTTAAACTTTCTACACCACATACCACAAGTTTTCTCAGAGTCTTATTAGATATTCGGAATGGTTCGAAGGAAATTGATGTCACGCCATTGCTTACGAATGAGTAATTTTGATCATAAGAGATCCCGCTTCAAGCTCAATTTTGAGCAACAAGAACATCACAAACAATATCATTTTTGTATGCCAAGTTGTAGCAGAGTAAATGTAGTTTCACCTGTGAACCCGATTCACATATCACAACTTAGTTTTTTCGGATATTCTGGGGTAACCCCGGGCTGGTCAATGTAAATCCGCCTCTGAAAACTCCTTTCAGGTGTGCGTTATTGTTCACTAAAATGCTGAAATAGTTGGTTCCATACCCCCCAAGAAAACAAAACTCGGCTGAAATAATCTTCCAGTCACCTTTTATCAAATGTACATTTGACTTTAACAACAGACAGCAATTCCGCTCATTTTTAACTCTTCAAAACTCGATGCCCTACAAGCAGGATTTCTTAAATGAGATTTCAACCGCACGACCTTCACCCCACTTTTTGTATATTACGGAACACCAGAAACGAGGTACCAAATTTTGACAGCAGATAGTGTATGCATGAAAGAGTTACTCACTGATTGGAATTTCCATATCAAAAACGAACACAAAAGTCTCGAGGGTTGGAACCCAAATTTTAATTTTCACGTAGAACAAAACTTAAGTGAATAAATCCCAGCCTACGACTTGCTGTAAAATAACAGGGATTGACGCCAAACTACAGCTGTACCCAGAATATGAAACAATAACTTAATTACAATGCTTGACTCGAATTCAAAGAAGAAATGATTAAAACTGAGCTCTTAAGAACTTGTTGTATATCGGATTT